CACATTAGCATTATGTACACTATTATGTAAATGGTGATGTACTTCTAGCATTATCCATTTTATTGGGTGAATGTGTGGTGGAGAATCTTACTGTAGCAACAATTTTTTGGATTAATGGTAGACAAACAGAGACTAATAACTTTAAATGATAGGCTCGACATTTTTTTCAAGAAAGAACGAAATAACTACCCAGAATCTTTCTTTCATTCTCGTTGTAAGGAGGGCTATACGAAGTTACGAAAATAATTTCAAATTCCGTTGGATTGTCAAAAGATCTTTGGGTGGACTAATCTTAAAAGGATGAAAAATACAAGAAATTACAATATAACCCGGTTTTAAAATTTGTAGGTAGGGTCAACGATGATTTGGATGGGGAGAAATTGAGACAGGTACAACATTAGCATCAAATATTTTAAGAATTGGGATTGATGTCGATTGTCAAAGATAATGCATGTGGCGATGTCTTTGCAATTGAGAAATTTGGACCACACCACCGGTTTGTGTAATAACAATTTTTCTTTGTTAAAAAATTGGTTAAAGTTCAAAATCACTAGATCCGCACTCAACACATCAAAATTGCCCGAGAGGCTAGGCAATGAGCAAAAAGATTAAAAAAAATTTGGCTAAAGCTCAAAAATCGCAGATCGAGACTCTAGAACTAGAACCTGCTAACTAAACTTGAAATTATGCGAACTTCTAAGTAGCGAGCAATGACAACGATAGACAAAATTAATGCATTCAACGATCGACGAAATTAATGACACCAATCGCTTAGTGGGTGGAAACCGTCATTCCACTCAGATCATAGGTGAAAATTGTCTGGTGGATGGACATGCTACACTAGACATATGAACATAATTCGTCCGACAGTTACACGACATCAAACACTTAAAAATACTCCAAAGGCATTCCAGATATGGTGGTCTGATTTTTCTCAACATATTTTCTTTGTTTCCTTAATTCATTTCGTTCATATCTCCATTACTAATTCTCACATCGACTGTATAACAGGGGATAAAGCCCTAGCATCTTTTTGCAGGTGTTTAATTGTTCACCGAAACAATAAAAGCTTCATTGCTCCGCTAAGTAAGTCTAAAAGTTGTTTCCATATCATTTCATCTCGGCTTAACAACATTCGAATTTTTGCATCGTTTTTTCCTACGTTTATGGAAGTCGTTAATTTTATTAAGTTCTCATTCTGCTCCCTATATTTTATGTAAATTCGTTTATTGTTTTGGTTGTTTTTATTTTTTGTAAAAGAAGTGGAAGTAAATTTATTCGATAAGTACTTGGTCGGAGGAACGTGGTCCCTAATTCGTTTCATTTATTGTATTGAATATGTGTTGCTTTTGGGTTGGTTTAGTTCGTCGTATAGTAGAGATGTCGAAACCTGTTAAATTCCTTAGTTTTCATGGTGAGTCTATCACCAACTAGCATCCATGTTATAAAAAAGAGAGGAATTTAGGGAGAAGTTGATATGTAATAAGGAAATTGTAAAGTCGATTCGAATAATATAGAAAGTCAATTTTGGACAATGACCCACAACCTATGAAAAATGTACAAATCACATTAATCAAAATTTGAGAATGTGACAACTAGCTTCCACTATGAAATACAACCACTGATTGAGTAACACTTGTGATGTATAATTGTCTTGTTATTTGTTTTATATTAATGGTCGGTTCCACATAACTTTTATTGTATTTTTGTTTTCTATCAAAAAAAAAATATTTTTTTTGGAGAAAATTACTTTAATTTTTGTTTAAAAATTAATTTTTAAAAGAACTTTTTATTTTAAAAGTACTTTTAGAAGAAGTCACATTAGACCATCTTTCTGTAAAAACTCTTCTAATCATAAGAATTAATTTTATAAAATTAGTCAAATGAATCAAAAATCTCCTTTTGTATATCAAAATCTCATTTTGATTTTTCAAAATTCATGCCAAACAGGGCAATAAGCTCCTCTTTGGTTTAAATGGAAATAAAATTTTTAATAGATTTTGATAAAAGGTGAAATGTATAGTTAAAAAGTTCTGGATCTTATAAAATATACGATCAAGATTAATTATTAATTTTGACTTAAATTTTAATATATATTTTTAGGTGAACCAAAGAAGGACTTATTTTGTGATGATTTTCAATCAATCTAATACATAAGTATTACACACACGAGACATCAAGAACTTGGATAGTGAAAGGAAATGGCACAATGATGCAATGGCTAAATGGGCCATAAATTGAGTTGGCCCAAGCTGGAATTGAAGTCCAACCCAAGTTCTGTTTGGTTTGTCTGTTGGTGCAAAAACGTGTTTTTTGGATACTGATGAAACCGTGTTTTCTACTTACCTTTATTTTGTACGCTTTAGATGTCACC